CTTTTATGAATGTGGAGTAGACTAATGATAGGCTGCACATTCATCCAAAAAATAATAAGCTGCACAGTGATAGATATGGAGTAGACTAATAATTAGCTACACAGTGCATTTTTATTTCTTTATTTCAAATTTTTATTTCAAAACGATAAAAGAACTTGATTTGAAACAAGCTACTGTGCCTTTAGTCACCAAATGAGGCAATCTTTTGATAGTGAGCTTCCTCTTCATAGTTTTCAACCTCTTGCTGGTTCCTTTTTCCTTTTTTCCTTTTTTTTTTTTTTAATCTGTTCTTTCTTCTCTTTCTTGTTCATAGGAGTCTTGGGCTGCCTTAAGATCAAAACAGATTTAAACCCATAACCTTCATCCCAAAAACAAGGTTATAATACTTAATCTATAACAATTTGGTTAACCTCCAGTTGGTCGCTAGTATCCTTTATCAGATGTATAACCTAGAAAAGGCAATGATCTATTAGTTTACACACATCCACCTAAACATAAATTTAGACCTTATTTGCATTAGTACCGGCTAATTACAATACTTGATTCAAGGGTCAAGATAAGGGATTGAAATAGCTAAGCATGCTAACTTTCTTCAAGTAGCAAAAATGAAGATGCATAAAATGGTGTGGTATAATATAAACGTTAAAACTAAGGTTTAGTAATGAAGATTGTGAATTTCTAGGCTTTCATGCTATCACTTTCATCCCAAATTGAATGATCAAACCTGTTCATCCTCCATAAACTCATGTGTCTCTATGTTCTAATGATGATGATGAATGACAAATCCTACCAAGTTTCAATCAATGCAATAACCAAACAACATATTGAGTCAAGATGTTAACCATGGCTCTGAATGCTGCAACCTGATGTGACAGAGAAAACAATAAATGAGCAGCATGTAATAATCTATCCAATTTAACATGGTGGAACTTAATTACAAAACTCTTCCAGCTTGGAGATTTAGATGAAAGAGGGCATGTACACAAAATGAACAAGTTTGAGAGATTTAAATCATTGTTAAAACCAAACTGAGAACCTCAAGCGTTTCTCCACCATTTCCTATAAGATGGAGAAGCATGTTCAGAATTGGGTGAAGAAACTGAAGCAAAGGAGTTGAATCGACATTCTTCAAGCTATTAATTGCCTGCAAACCAAAGTAGAGTGCTTATAAGTGCGCCATTTTTTGACCATTGAAGAAATTTATTGTTTGATAACATCAGATTCCATGACACAAATTTCATACTTCTATGTGTTTTTTGTTTTTTCCTTTTGATTGGCAAAGAGTAATATTACTAATAAAACTAAAGAGTGAAGCACAATGAATGCCACCACCAATCTCAAAATCCAAGTATTTCAGTGCTGGAAAACTCAAAGCCAATTCAATGACAACCTAATTAACATTTAACATAAGAACCTTGTCCCCCATTAACCCACATTTTCCAGTCAACAACCTTCTGCTTCCACAAGGTTTTCTGACAGTGTGAAGTGTTGTGAAAAAGTTCTAGACGATGGTGAGGCGTTGAGGCACTGCCTAGTTCCTAGGTGCACTCTAGCAATTTCCCTTTTTTTTTTTTTTTTTTT